CACTGCAGTGGAGGATTGCCTAGTTATGCTCTTAAAGTTGATCTCATGAAAGCATATGATTTTGTTTGTTGGGATTTTCTCTTTGCGATTTTAGTGGTGCTTGGTTTTCCCCAGAGAGTTGTTAGGTTTACTGAGTGTGGCGACCACTCGGTTTTTGATTTCCATTAATGGGGAGTTTCATGGTTTCTTTGCCAATGGGAGAAGTTTGAGACAAGGAGATCCTTTGTTTCCCTACCCGTTTGTCTTGGCAATGGAGGTCTTTCAAGGTTAATGGGGTTGATGGTTGCTAAACAGGATTTTAAATACCACTGGAGGTGTGAGAAGGAGAGGATCACCCACTTGTGTTTTGCTGATCATCTTATGGTCTTTTATAGAGCTGAGGTTGGTTTTGTAGCCCTCATTGGGGGAATGCCTTCATCAATTCAGAGCTTTTTCTAGTCTTACTCCTAATCAAGATAAGAGCAATCTATTTGCTAGTGGTGTTTCTTCATATCTTAAGGATCAGTTGCTTGATATTTTGGGTTATAAGGAGGGTATCCTACGGAACGTTATCTTGGTGTCCACTTATCTCTAGCAGATTGTGGGCTTTGGATTGTAAACTATTGGTGGGCCGTATTATAGCTAGGGCTAAGAGTTTGACAAGTCGAACGCTCTCCTATACAGGCAAGTCACAACACATTAAGTCTATGTTATTTTCTATTCAGGTATATAGTGTCTTCGGTATTTATTTTACCCAAGGTTGTGATCAAACAAGTGGAAAATACACTATGGGCCTTCTTGTGGATGGGTAGTGACCTTGGCACCGGAGGGGCTAAAGTTGCTTGGACAAAAACTTGTATGCCTAAGGAGGAGGGTGGCTTGGGTCTGCGAAGTATGGAGATTTGGAATAAGGCTACCATGTTAAAGCAGCTTTGGTCCCTATGGACGAATTCTGACTCCTCTTTTTTGGTTTCATGGGCACGATGTCATTTACTTAGAGGTCAGAGCATTTCGAAATTGAAGTGCCCTAAGGATTGCTTTTGGGGTTCGAGGAAAATTCTTGGACTCCGATATATAGGGAGGGACAAAATGAAATCCAGAATTGGAAATGGTAGACGTGCTTCGCTTTGGTATGATAATTGGCACCCTTTTGACCCTTTAGAGAAGATTCTCAATGAGGGGATCATTCATGAATCCAGATTGAGTAGAATAACTAAGATGGCTGATATTGTTGTGGGTGATACTTGGAGGTGGCCATCAATTCGTTCCCCATGTTGTCTAACTTGATGGGAGAAACACTTGATACTTTTCAGGCGGATAATAATAGAGAGGATGTCTTGCAATGGATGGATGATGTGCATGGAGTCTTCTCTGTCTGAAGTGCTTGGGAGTCTCTTTGACTTTGTTGCCCTAGGGTGACCTGGTATCGCATTGTATGGTTTCCTAAGTGTATTCCATGTCATGCATTTATACTTTGGCTAACAATTCAAGGTGGCATCTTTACACAGAAAAAGCATCTTTGCTTTGGTTTGTACAGTCTATGCATTGTGTGCTCTGTGGTTGTTCAGTGGAGGATATTGATCATCTTTTCTTTACTTGCTCATTTTCTGAGCAGGTTTGCCACGATTTGCATGAGAAATGTAACTTGCCTTGGTTTCAACAGAGTTTGCCAGATGTTTGCGACTTTGATTTATTCTATTTGGCATGAGTGAACTAGGATCCATGGAGAGGCTCCAAAACACAAGTGTGTAGTTATTGGAGACATTGTTTTTTCTATTTGTCAACAAGTAAATTTATGTAGGGGCTTGGTTCCATCTAATGAGAATAGATAGCTTCAACGCTCATGGGGTTTTTTTGAAGATATTTTTTATTGTTTTTATTATCGTGGTTAGGTTATGAGCACTAATCTAGGCTATAATTATTGGTGTTAGGAAAACATGTTCCTAGCCTTGTTTTTTTGGGTTATGCCCCTGTGTTTTTGTAATTTACTTTCACATTTTTTTATATAATACAAGTACCTTATCCAAAAAAAAAAAAAAGGTTTACTACGAGTGGAAAAAAGGCAATAGTGAGCACATAAGAGGGTAAAAGCCAATCTGATTTCGTTTTAGGTGAAACACGAGTGGAATTGAGTGAATCATTTTTTGAGTGAAAAAAAATGTAAGGAAGTGTGTGAGGTCATTTTTTTCTAACTTTGTTTACAGCAAACATGTTGGACAACAAGAACACAAATACTTCCAGAGATGCATCATGAAACGTTGATGGGTGAGATGAGGAGACTGTTGAGAGCAGAGATGGAGCAGGTTCATGAGCGGATAGATAAGGTAGAGAATGCACGAGTGGAGCGGGCACAAAATGCTCCTAATGTACAAAGAAGAGGGAGAATTTTTCAACCTAGTGAGGTGAGAGTTCAAGATGTACTTTATGGGGATCATTTTGGTGTGGAAGATGATCAGGATTCAGATGTTAGTAATAGGAGATATGGACGGTAGAGAGGCTAGAAATCGGGAAGATAATAACTTGGGTAGTATTAAGATAAAGATTTCACCATTTCAAGGCAAGAATGATCTTGAGGCTTACCTTGAGTGGGAAAAAAAAGGTAGAAGTAGTGTTTGATTGTCATAATTATTCCGAGCTTAAAAAGGTTAAACTTGCAGTCATTCAATTTTCCGACTATGCGATTTTTTGATGGGAACAACTAGTGTTAAACCGGAGGAGAAATAGAGAGCGCCCAGTAGAGACTTGGGAGCACATGAAAACTGTGACAAGGAGGTGGTTTGTTCCAAGCCATTACTACCGTAAATTGTACCAAAAATTGCAAAGTTGTAACACAAGGTAATTGGAGTGTGGAGGATTATTATAAGGAAATGGAAATGGGTAATTGGCGCAAAACGTCCCTACCTTCCAGTTTCATTGTGGAAAACGTTCCTACCTTTCATTTTTTGGCATTTTTGCCCTTAAATCAACCTTTCGTTGCGATGAAGGTCCTTCCGTCCAAGTTCCATCCATTTTGCCGTTAATCAAAGAGAGAGAGCCATTTTTTGTTCAGTCAGCAGGGGTAAAACCGTCTCACCCAACGAAACCCCTCATTTTCTTCCTTCTTCACACTTCACAGCCCGAACGGTTTCCTTCGACTCTCTCGCGCTTCTTCAAAAATTCCCATTTATCTTCCATTTCAACAATTATCGCTCCATTCTCCTCTCGTATGGTCGCATACCAGCAGCCGGCATAATGGAAGCTTGCGTTGGGAGTTTGTCCAGTGAGCGACGTCGGGTAAGAATCATTACTTGTGTATTTTCGTTTTCCATTTCGTATTGTAGTGCTTTGCATGATTAAGTGTACGTGTAGGGTTTTGATAGTGTTTATTGTCGTTACGCAGGCCTTCAAGGAAAAACATGTTTCTTCCATATTTGAGAAACCCCGGCGACGAACGACCCAGATATGGTATGTAGTTCATCCCCTATTTTTTTTATGAACTTCTCTGATTCCAGTGTGCATTGACAAAATTTCGAATTGGAATCCCCCAATTTATGTCTGTTTTCTGTCACTCGTATTTCCCTTTGGCATGCATTCGTATCTATTTTGAATTTTTTTTTTTTGGGTGTTTAGGTTGAGTTATGTCACTCTAATTATTTTCATTGAGCTATAAAATTTTAGTGGAATGTTGTTAGTGTTGTATTTCCTACTTTTCTGTTTTTGATGTATTACTGCCATAGAAGATATCCATGTTTCAGTGTTGAGGTTGAGTCTGTCAATGTCCACGTGGTTATTAACATTATACGATTGAGTTATGTCCTCTTGCATTGAGTTCTGTCAATGTCATCCCTAAGTTGTTGGTTGATTTTGATGTAAACTTTATATGATTGCTTACAGGTGGTAGGTCTGAATATTTTACTATCGAAATGCATTATGGGGGCCAATTTTATGATAAGCCAAACAATGCGGTTTATGAAGGGGGGTCCGTTCTTTTCGTCGACTTCTTTCATGCTAAATGGTACAATAGAGAGAATTTGCGTAAATTCTTAGACGGCACTTGTGATGAAAGTGTGTTACAATTTTACTATAAGAAGCAAAAATTGAGCTTAGGGAAGGGGTTGATGAGACTAGAGAGTGAAGAGGCTATTAACGGAATGCTTAGGGATAGGAATGGATGTCCGGATGTGAAAATATATGTTGTAGCCCAAAAGCAATTATATACATTGCCGTGGAATCCTTCACATTCACAAGTTGACGAAGACCAACCATTTGAAGGTTGTTATATCCCTTCAATTGCTGAAAAAGAAGGAAATGAGCCTGAAGATGATCAGATAAATATTTTGATGAAAATGCTGACGAGTTGTGGTCACAATACGAGCAAACCTTACAATACCAAAAATGAGGGAGATACAAATGTAAGTGATTTGAATCCGGAGGAAGATCAAAATGAAGAAACAAGGGTGGAAGAAGAGGAAGTTGAAGGTTTGGTGGAATTCGATTATGAGATGGAGCCGGAGCTTGTAGATACTGCTGAAGGAAAGAGTGAAAGAGTTCATTTTGATTTCGGACTTGGTATGTCGAATGAGCAGCCAGTTAGAAATTCAGATACCGACTACGGGGACTCCGATGATTTACGAAGCATTTATAATGAAGAGGAAGGTAATAGAGCTTCAAGAAGGAGGGCTTCCAATGATGCTATCAATGTGGGGACAGATATGGAGGATCCAGTGTTCAAAACAGGTAACTTGAACATTATTCTTTACTTCAAATTTAAACTTGCTTATGTACTTTAGTGTCATGAGGTCTGATATACATTGAATTTTTTTGACTATGCAGGCTTGATATTTGAGTCGAAGGCCGTACTAAAGGCTGCAATCACCTCACATTCAGTTACAAACAATAGAGAGATTAAGTTCAAAAAGGATGATGCTCATAGATTGAGAGTCAAGTGTAAGGGAGATTGTCTGTGGGTGTTGTATGCTCCAAAGGAGCATGGTAAGGCAAGTTGGGTGATCAAAACTTTTGTGGAGCAGCATACTTGTCCCATGGTATACAAGAACTTTAGGGTGACCTCATGCTATTTGGCAGATAGATATTTAACTGATTGGAGGGCTGAGCAAAATATGTTAGTTACTGTATATATGGAGAGGGTTAAGCGAGATGGTTTAGGTGATATCTCAGCCTGGTAGGCATATAGATCAGAGGAGAAGGCGCTCGAAAAAATTAGAGGGAGTGTGGTGGAGCATTACAAATTACTGTGGGATTATTGTGAGGAGTTAAAGAGGACAAATATTGGGACCACTGCATTGGTTGAGGGGCACGTTGGAGAATTTCGACGGTTGTATATTTGCATTGGGGCATTGAGAGATGGTTTTATTCGAGGTTGCATAAGGGTGATTGGGGTAGATGGCTGCTTTTTGAAGACAGAGCTTGGTGGTCAATTGTTGACAGCAGTTGGTGTTGATGCGAATAATGGTATGTATCTGGTGGTATATGCAGTTGTGGAGGTTGAAAATGGGGATAATTGGAAATGGTTTTTGGAGTTATTGAAGGATGATTTGCACATACATAGCAGTCAACATTGGATATTCATTTCAGATCAGCAAAAGGGATTGACAAATGCAATTGGGACATTGTTTGAGAATTTGGAGCATAGGATGTGTGTCAGACATCTATACAACAATTTCAGCTTCTGTCACAAGGGTTTAGCATTGAAGAACTGTTTGTGGGATGTAGCCAGGGCCACTACTATATCACAGTGGCGTCAGCACGTGCAACGGATGATGGACTTGGACCCGGCTGCTTATGGATGGCTTGAAGAAAAACCAGCTTCCCAATGGAGTAAATCCCACTTTAGAGAGTGGAATCAGTGTGACATGCTTCTCAACAACTTATGTGAATCATTTAATAGCACAATTGTGGCTGTAAAAGAGAAGCCGATCTTAACCATGTTGGAGGATATTAGGGTATATTTGATGAGGAGAATTGTGTCCCGTAGAGAGTCTTGTTATAGGTGGACAACAGCAGTTGGACCTAGAATGCAGAAGATTTTGGATAAAAATGGTAAACTTGCAAGGTTTCAGTGGGCTGAGTACGCAGGTAATGAAAAGTTCCAAGTTCGCCACAATGTCGGGATTGTGCTACATGCTTTAGATTTAAGGGCACGAACTTGTACATGCCGTGGTTGGCAATTATCAGGAATTGCATGTAGCCATGTCATTGCCTCAATTATATCTAGAGGCCTGAACGTGTTGGAGTTCGTGGATGACATCTATAAGAAGGATGCATACATGAGAACATATACGCCATCAATTTCTCCCATCACAGGTCCGGACGCATGGCCTACCCCAGGTTTGAACCCTCTCACTCCACCAGTATACACGAAGAGGCCTCGGAGGCCAAAGAAAAATAGAATAAACGAGCCGAATGAGGTGGCTTCTTCAAGTCAGCCGAAGAGGTCCAATCAGTCCAAGAGAAATGTCAATATTTCACAATCAACTTTAGGAACAACGGAAGGTCAACAAAAAAGATCGGGGCTAATAATGACATATACGAAGTACGGTGAAGCAGGACACAATAGGAGAGGCTGCAAAGGGGCACCACCTCTAGTACCTTGTTAGGATGAAGCTGTCTGGGTCTGCTAAGTTCACTTATTAATTTTTTGGCTTTTGTTTTTGTTATTTAGTGCACAAATTGTCTGCATGTAGTGGATATAATATAGCACTTTGGGAACCTTTTTTGATGTTTATGTACTGGAAGAATGTAGCAAGTTTAGGAATTATGTTTCTGTCACACTAGATATTTTTGCACAGTTGAAATGAATTGTATCTATTTTTGCTTTAGTTTTCAATTATTTTTGCTTCAGCAGGTACTGGATATTTTTGTTTCAGTCTTCGATTGATTGGTGGATGAATTGTGTCTCAGATTCTGTAATAAAATTGTGTACTTAGGGACTTTTGAGTTGGTGTGTATCAATAGGTGGTATATGGAAGAAAACATGGAATTCTCTCGCCAAATTTTTTCTAAAAGTCAGGGACGTTATTCGCAAATATTTCTAAAAAGTAGGGACGTTATTAGCAAATATTTTTGCACACTAGAATTATGTTTCTGTCACACTAGATATTTTTGCACAGTTGAAATGAATTGTATCTATTTTTGCTTTAGTTTTCAATTATTTTTGCTTCAGCAGGTACTGGATATTTTTGTTTCAGTCTTCGATTGATTGGTGGATGAATTGTGTCTCAGATTCTGTAATAAAATTGTGTACTTAGGGACTTTTGAGTTGGTGTGTATCAATAGGTGGTATATGGAAGAAAACATGGAATTCTCTCGCCAAATTTTTTCTAAAAGTCAGGGACGTTATTCGCAAATATTTCTAAAAAGTAGGGACGTTATTAGCAAATATTTCTGAAAGGTAAGGGACTGTACTCGCAAAAAATTTTATAGGTAGGGATGTTTTAAGCCAAAATTATAAATACGTAGGGATTATTAGCGCAAGGTTCATTCAATTTCGAACAGTACCCATTCATCTTCTCCAATGAGCCAAAATGGGTCATTCACCATTGAACTGATACATAGAACCGATACATACTTCACAGCACCCATTTCCACTCGATCTCCTCAATTTATCCCATGGCCACAATAAGCATAAACTAGAAATAAATATCAAGCAGTCATCTATATAAATTCACCAACCATTCAATATATTTCTTACTACATTTTTCCAGAAACCTAACATAAAAGCAGCAGTGATGGTCGAAATTAACCCGTGATCTGTTCTTTAATTAACGACATTTTTTTCCTTATTTAATGTAATAATTTAAAGTATTTTCACACCCATTTTTCAGCAACTTTTATATATATGGACTACGTAGAAGGCGGGAATAAGGGATTCAATAGGTGAGACGATTTTACCCTTGCTGACTGGACAAAAAATGGCTCTCTCTCTTTAATTAACGGCAAAATGGATGGAACTTGGATGGAAGGACCTTCATCGCAACGAAAGGTTGATTTGAGGGTAAAAATGCCAAAAAAATGAAAGGTAGGAATGTTTTCCACAATGAAACTGAAAGGTAGGGACATTTTGCACCAATTACCCAAATGGAAATCGCTATGATCTGAGCGAATGTAGAGGAGGATCGAGAGGCTACTATGGCTAGGTTTGTGGTTGGTTTGAATCATGAAATCGCTAATTTGGTGGAGCTGCAACATTATATGGAATTGGAAGATATGGTTCACATACCTATAAAAATTGAGAACCAACTGAAAAGGAGGGGTTGTTGTACATGACAACACCCTAACTCAGTTTCATCTTGGAAGCCCAATTTCGTGAAGAAAGAGTAGAAACATGCCATGGTCAGCCTCAGAACTAAGCAAAAGCAAGGAATAACCAGCCATAGAAATCAAGGCAAACTGAATTCTTCAACCACTCGAAATCATGATATTAAGTGTTTTAAATGCCAAGGCAGAAGTCACATGGCGAGCCAATGTCCGAACAAAAGAGTTATGGTATTGCGAGATTATGGTGAAGTTGAGACCGAGGGTGAAGAAGACACTGAATCTATGTCGCTATTGGAGGATGTGGGTGATGAGGAATACGCCGCCCAAGGAAAATTGTTGGTTGCGATGAGAGCTCTAAGTGTGCAGATCAAGGAAGATGATGAAGTGCAGCGAGAAAACATATTTCATACTAGATGCCATGTGCAAAATTAGGCATGTAGTGTGATTATTGATGGAGGAAGTTGTACTAACGTTGCTTGCACTACAATGGTTTATAAATTAGGGCTGCCTACAATTAAACATTCTCAGCCTTACAAGTTGAAATGGCTCAATGATAGTGGGGAGGTGAGGGTGAACAAACAGGTGTTAGATTCCTTCCACATTGGAAAGTATGAAAATGAAGTTTTGTGAGCTCCAATGCAAGCTGGACACTTGTTACTAGGCCGGCCATGGCAATTTGATTGGCGTGTTAAGTATGATGGCTTCAACAACAAATACTCGTTTGTGACCTTTCACACCAAAGCAGGTTATGAAGATCAAGTGAGGTTACAAAAAAAGGTTGATCAAAAGAAAGAGAGTGAGAAAAAGAAAAAAAGTGAAAACCAAAAGAAAGAAACACGAGAGGCCGAGAAAATTCAGAGAGAAGACAAGAGAGCAGATTCGGCCATTGAGAGAAAAACAACTTTCTATGCAAAAGTGAGTGAAATAAAAAGAGCGATGTTTTCAAATCAGCCAATGATTGTACTTTTGCCTAGTTCCATTGTTTCTCTTTTGCAGGAGTTCGATTTTGTGCCTAGTGCTTCCAATCCAAATCGACCTGCTTATGGAAGCAATTCAGAAGAGACAAAGGAACCACAAAGGCAAGTCAATGAATTGATGGAAAAGGGATATGTGAGAAATAGCAGGAGTCCGTGCACCATTTCAGTGATTTTGGTTCCGAAGAAGCATGGGACGTGGAGAATTTGCATTGACAGCCTAGCAGTCAACAATATGACAATAAAATATCGACATCCTATTCCTTACTTAGATGACATCTTATGTATTTTCTAAGATTGATTTAAAGAGTGGATGCCATCAAATAAGGATGAAAGAGGGCGATGAGTGGAAAACTGCTTTTAAAATGAAACATGGTTTGTATCTCAGTTCGTTATGCCATTTGGAATACTAATGCACTAAGTATCTTCATGCGATTAATGAACCATCTTTTACGTGCTTTCATAGGCGTCTTGTTAGACATTTTGGTCATATACTCATTTATAGAAAAAACTTTGATGATCATGTTGTGCATTTAAAAGAGAAGTTATTTGCTAATTTGAAGAACCTCACCTTTTGCACCGATAAAGACTTATCGAAATGGCCGAGTCCCACGAGTGTGAGTCATGTTTGTAGTTTTCATGGACTCACTAGTTTTTATAGGTGGTTCGTGAAAGACTTTAGTAGCATCACTGCACACCACTTATATCAACATCCTATTCCTTACTTAGATGACATCTTATGTATTTTCTAAGATTGATTTAAAGAGTGGATACCATCAAATAAGGATGAAAGAGGGCGATGAGTGGAAAACTGCTTTTAAAATGAAACATGGTTTGTATCTCGGTTAGTTATGCCATTTGGAATACTAATGCACTAAGTATCTTCATGCGATTAATGAACCATCTTTTACGTGCTTTCATAGGCGTCTTGTTAGACATTTTGATTATATACTCATTTATAGCAAAAACTTTGATGATCATGTTGTGCATTTAAAAGAGAAGTTATTTGCTAATTTGAAGAAGTTCACCTTTTGCATCGATAAAGACTTATCTAAATGGCCGAGTCCCATGAGTGTGTGTCATGTTTGTAGTTTTCATGGACTCATTAGTTTTCATAGGTGGTTCGTGAAAGACTTTAGTAGCATCACTGCACACCACTTACCAAAGTAATAAAGAAGAACGTTGGTTTCAAATGGGGAGATGAGCAAGAAAAGGTGTTCCAATTAATCAGGGAAAAATTAATTCATGCTTCTTTACTTGCTTTATCTGATTTTACTAACACGTTTGAAATTGAATGTGATGCTTTAGGTATGGGTATTGGTGCAATTCTTATGCAAGGAGGAGACCCAATTGCATATTTCAATGAGAAGTCAAGCAGGGCAGCCTTAAACTACCCGACATACGACAAGGAATTGTATGCATTGGTTCAAACTTTGGAAACATGGCAACACTACCTTTGGCCTAAGGAGTTCATGATGCACACCAATCATGAATCCTTGAAACATTTGAAGTGCCAACACAAGTTGCATAGGAGACATGCACGTGGCATGGTATGCCTAGGACATTAGTTTCGTTCTTGAGTTACTTTTGGAAGACATTGTGGGGTAAGTTAGGAACTAAACTATTATTTTCTACTACTTGTCATTCACAAACTGATGGTCAAACCGAAGTAGTGAATAGGGACTTTGTCTGCTTTTTGGAGGGCTATTATTAAAAAGAATATCAAAACTTGGGAAGTGTGTCTGCCACATGTTGAGTTTGCTTAGCCCCTGTTTGATCCCCATTAAATTAAATTACATTACATTCCATTTCTCTCTCTCCTATTTTCAACCACAATCTTCCATAAAATAATATTACACGTAAATCGAAAATTTTTCATTCTTTTTCAACCACTCATTTTTCTAAAAAATATTATTCCCCCCATTTTCATTTTCAGGTAATGGGGATCAAACAGGAGCTTATTATAATCGTACTATTCATTCTGCTACCAACTTTTCATCGTTTGAAATTGTTTATGGTTTAAACTATTTAACTCCATTAGATTTAACACCATTACCCTTGTTTGAACGTGCTAATTTGGATGGAAAGAAAAAGGCTGAACTTGTTAGGTAGATACATGAGAAGGCAAGACTCAACATTGAGAGGAAGACGGAGTAGTATGCAAAACAATCTAACAAAGGGCGACAAAAACTGATTTTTGAAACCGGCGATTAGGTTTGCTTGCACGAGGAAAGAGAGATTTTCGACACGAAGGAATTCTAAGTTGCTTCCTAGGGGAGATGAACCTTTTAAAGTCCTTGAGCATATCAATGACAATGCATACATGTTGGATTTGCTAGGTGAGTACAATGTTAGTGCCACTTTCAATGTTGTTGATTTAAGTCCTTTTGACATAGGTTATGATTTGAGGACAAATCCTTTTCAAGAGGAGGGGAATCATGAGGGCATGTCTAATAAATGGAATGCAAATCCTATTCAAGTTCCAATTGGTCTACAAAGAGCTTGAGCTAAAAGGTTCAAGGAAACTCTCAATGGGCTGATTCAAAACATTTTGACTGAGGCAAATTCTTGGAAGCCCAAGGAAGATACTCCATGTGTTCCACAAGAATGGATTTCCATGATTCAAGCCTTGGAAAAATCAAGCAATAAAATATTTCAAGGAGACAACTCAAGATTGGGTGTATTAAAAGGAAAAGGTTCCTAAATTGGTGACTTGCACGATTTAATTGGCTGCCATTTAGAAAAAGCAATCTTCTTATTATGGCTATTTATCTTTCTTGTTTCTTGTAATTATTTTGCTGAATTGTAAGGCTTGAGTGCCAATTTAGATTCCTTCCTTATTTGAAGGTGGAATAAGCATGATTTAAGGGGTTCCATTTGGGATCAATTTGCAAAATTCATGACAATGAATTTGGGATTTTGTAGTTGTCAAATTCGTGGACCTTCTTGTATTTAAATAGCTATTAGCTTGATGAATAAAGCAATTCAGATTTTCATTCAAAATTTTGAGGATTGTTTTTGCATAGCTTTCAACATGAAGAATTGGTTGTTCTACCTAGATGTAGATTCTTCTTTTTCAGATGTATAACTAGAAAAAAAATATTCCTCATGTGCTTGCACTCAAG